TAGAAAAAAAAAGAAAATACTGACGTTTCTTTAATACAACCAAAAATTTACTGGTGGGATGGGGGAGGAAAACAACATAAAAATAGTGTCATAATAAAAAAAACCACATATTGATCTTGCTTTGAGTGTCAGAGTACCAAAGGCTCTCTGGTAATCAAAGGAAATTGGTGGACTTAGAGATATGGAATTAACTTTTTGAATGATTAAGTACTTGATTGTTAATTGAAAGGTCAGCAGTTCAAACCCACCAAGGGGTCCCCTGGAGACAAGACCTGGCAAACTGCTCCTATAATCATTATAAACGGGAAAACTCTGAGGCAATCTACTGTGTTACATGGGGTCACTATGAGTTGAAATGGATTCAACAATAGCAATACTTCAGTGCAGGCTATTGTTAGGCAATTCTAGTGGCACAGTGGTTAAACCCCAGACTGCAACCAGAAATAGCCCCTGAGTCAAATCTCAGGAGAAAATGCCCAACAATCTGCTCCCTAAAAAGTAATATTGCCTCAAAAGAGCCTCATACTTATTACCATAGAACGAGAGCTGACTCATAGTTGACACTCCAGCAGGTTTTCAGAGGCTGTAAATTGTAAAGGTGTAGACTGTCTATCTTTCCCCCTCAGAGCCACAAGAGAGGCCAGATTAGCAGCACAACTTCCTACAAACTATGCCACCAGAGCCCCCTAAAACTCTAAAAGGAAGTTCTACTGTGTATTGTTGTTGTTGTTGTTGTTGTTGTTGTTGTGTGCCATAGAGTCAGAATTGGCCCAAAGCTGACCCTCCAGGTGGGTTTCAGAGGCAAAAAATCACATGGGAAGAGATTGCCCATCTTTCTCTGGAACTGCAAGTGTATTCAACTGTGAGCCTTTGAATTGGCAGTGCAGCTCCGTACCACTAGAGGCCACCAAAGCCCCCTGTCCTATTGGTTGGTAACTGTGTGCCATGGAGTGTGGACCAATCCATAGCTCACCCTCCTTCCGGTTTTCAGAGGTAGTAAACCACAAAGGAGGAGATTGCCAATCCTTCTCCCTCAGAGCAGCTGGTGGATTCAAATGGCATGCTCTTGAGATTGCAGCGCAGCTTCTTACCACCAGGCTGCCAAAGCTTCAAAGAAGGCCAATGACAACAGTAGCAAGTGTTTGCTGATCCAAACACACTTTCCCATTATAAACACAAACGAACCAAAACTGAGAGAAAAGGAGAGTTGACAAAAGCCTACCCTGTTTACTAGCCACAGACACACTGAAGCCCTTGACTTTGAGATAGACTGTCCCAAGAAGTGCTAGAACAGTGTTTATGTGGTATTGTTCCAGGAATGGGATAGACTGGGAAGACACAGGCAAAGGGGTGACAGCTCTTGTGGGCAGGGTAAGGTAAACCAACCAGTCTACTGTTTCAGAGTTCCCTTGAACACTACTTTCCTTCCTCCCTCTCATTTCTTCCATATTCCCCAAGAGACTGCCTGATTGCTAATTTGGTACATCAACAGAATTGGTATCCAGAAGTGGTGTTGTTGTTAAGTGCCATCCAAGTCAATCACAATTCAATCACTCTATAAATAACAGCTCTGACCCTTGCCCTATCCTGAGCCAGCTTCACCATCTCTGATGCAGCTGACCCCACTGCCACAGTCACTCCATCTCATCCAGGATCTTCCTCTCCTGCGCTGACTCTCCACACTTTCCAGCTTGATGTCATTCTCTGAAGACTGAACTCTCATAACAATATGCCCAAAGTCTGTGAGATGGAGCTTTAAAAGCTTTGCCTGCAAATAGCAACCTGGTTTTATCCTTTCTAGGATAGACCCGTTTGTTCTATTGGCAGTCCATGATATATGTGCAATATTTCTCTCCAGCACCACAACTCAAAGGCATCAATTCTTCTTGTCATCGCTGGTTATTATCCAGCTCTCAGATGCACAGCAAGCAATTGAGAAGACCATAGTCTGGATCAGGTGCACCTTAATCTTTATACTAACACTATTGCTGTTTAGTACTCTGGAGGCCCTTGACAGCAGATTTTCTCAATGCAACTCATCTTTTGATTTCCTGACTGCTGGTGCCAAGGGTGTTGATTGTGGATCTGAGAAAGATTAAATCATTAATAACTTCAATCTTTTCTTCATCTATCATGAAGCTGCCTATTGGCCCAGTAGTGAAGAGTTTTCTTTTCCTGATAATGAGATGCAATCCATTTTGAAGGCTGCAATCCTTGATCTTCAGCAGCAAGTCCTTCTTAGTTATCTGTGTAATGCAGGTTGTTGATGAGTCTTCCTCCAATTCTGATGCCACATTCTTCTTCTAGCCTCCTGAACGACCTGTTCAGCATATAGTTTTTAAAAATACAGAGAAATGATACATTCTTGTTGCACTTCTTTCTTTATTTTGAATCATGAACTATCCGCCTAACAGTGAATCTATTCAAACAATGGCATCCTGGTCTCGGTGTAGATTTCACATGAGCACAATCTAATGTTCTGGGGTTCTCATTTATCTCAATGTTAGCCACAATTTGTTGAGATCCACACAATCAAATGCCTTTCCACTGTCAATAAAATGCAAATAGACATCCTTCTGGTACTCTCTGACATCCTTCTGGTACTCTCTGCTTTCAGTCAAGATCCATCTGATATCAGTAATTATATTCCTAGCACCACAGCCTCTTCTAAACCTAACTTGTATACTTTGCAGTTCTCTGTTGATATACTGTTCTAATAATTTTTGGATAATCTTCAGCAAAACTTTGCTTGTATGTGATAATTAATAGTATTATTCTATAATTTCCGCATTCTGTTGGATTATCTTTTCTGGGAGTGAGTATAAATATGGATCTCTTCCTTTAGTTGGACAGGTAGTTGTCCTCCAGGTTTCTTGGCACAGCCTGATGAGCAAATACAGGGCTGCATCTGATTGATGAAATATGTCAATTTGTATTCCATCCACTCCTGGGGCCTAATTTTTTGCCAATTCTTCAGAGCATCTTAAACTTCTTCCAGAAGTGGGTCCTCTCAATAATGAACACTGATATTTCAGACATCAAAAAGAACCATTTTCCTTTTAAGTTAGTAGACCAGACAGGTAAAAATGGCATTTCCCATCTTTCTTTGCCCATGTGTGTCCATGTGACTAAGTTCTGGTCAGTGGGCTCTGAGTGGTAATGACATGTGCAACTTCTGGATTCTATCCTTTAAAAGTTGCTTGCCTTCCTCTGACCATCTTCCACTCCTCTCTACTCTAGTTAGTTGGACAGTAGACATAGTGGCAGTGACACAGCCTCTACACTGCAGAAAAGAGCAGGACCTAAGAGGGCAGAGAAGCAATGAAAGAGAAGAAACCTTCAGTCTCGCAACACATCACTGCCTGTTAAGCAAAGTTACTCACCTTTCTAGGCTTTGCAATAATGTGGTGGGAGGGAGCTTTTGCTCTTCTTTAAGCTGCTGTTAATTTTATTTCTGTTAAACTGGCTGAACCAATTAATAACCTCTATAAATAATGACTGAGTGAGAATGAATTATTCTGAACCAATTCCTGGAGTACCACATGAAATGTCCCCATGATCCCAAATGCCTAATTTATTTGCAATATCTCCTCTAGTTATTTAGTAAAAGATAGATACCTAATGTCTTGGCACACTTAGTCATCATGTATGAATTTATTCCCATGGTCAGTAACGATATCACTTGAACATAGAATATACACTAGGGGGAAAAAGCACAAATAGTTAGGACTAAAATAGTAGTAAATTTTACAAAGGTAGTCATTTTTCAATTAATTACTGACTCAATTTCTTAGTCCATATTTTTTAAATCTTGTCTTGAATTAAGTTAAGAAGCTCAGATGGTATAGTGAATTGAGAGTTAGGTTTTAACTAAAAGGCTTATGGTTCAAACCCCCAGCTGCTCCATGGAAGAAAGATGAGGCAATCTCCTCCCACGAAGACTTGAAACCTTAGGAACCCTACAGGGAGATCCGTCCTGTCCTAGAGAGCTGCTGTAGGTTGGAATCGACTTGCTGAATGTAAGCAGACTGGAGAAAACTGGCTGTTTTGTGGGAACTTCTTGAACATAATAGGTTGGGGTAGAAATTAGTTTTTTATCTGCAGGTGAGGAGAAGGCTTTTTGTATTTTCAGGGAGAAGAACACTAGATAGTTGCCACATTGGTCAGCAGCCACATAAAGCTTGCAAGATGACAGCCTCACCTTGCTGTGGCACTTGCGGGGTAAAAGATAAACCTCTAGCATCCGTGGTCAATGGCAGCAATGTGTAGAAGACGGACTTGTCCGTGCCACCAGTATTTACTTGAGCTGTGCACAGAGAGTCTGAGGAAGGAGGGAAGGCACTCTGGGTTGGGAGGGGGATCTGGAGATGTGTAGTGGAGAAGCAGAAAGACAATCATATTTGTAGCCTTTGTCTCTACCATTTCTTAGCTATGACTTGGTGTCAGATATTGAACCATGCCAAGTTTTACTACCTTTCACTGAAAAAGAAAATGGAGTAACTATAGATTTCTGCTACAGAGATGTCTGCCAAGTTTAGCATCACCTGGAGCATTTTTTATTCACACTGACTCCAAAGTCCCTTCCCTGGAGATCCTGACTCCACATTTCTGGGGTGGAGCCACGGGGATTCTCAGTAGTAGATAGATTTGAGAAGCATGGTAAAATGGCATCCAGATGCTACTTATAATTTGACTGATTTTATTTTAGGCCAACTCCTTGTACACATTAAAATGAGGGGTGGGGCAGAAACTCCAAAGTATTTTTTAAAATATTTTTTCTTTGACACCAAGTCTTCCTAAAGACTCAAGTGAAGTTTGAACCCCAAATTGATTCCCAGGCCATGGACACAGACATAAAGTATGCAACCTTGGGAAGGATGTGGTGATATCTATGACACTATGGTACTGTCAAAAAAATAAACACCCCACTTCTTTTTTGGGGAGTGTATATATACATAGAGGGGAAAGAAAAAAGAAAACTTAATTCTTAATTTACCAAATCTTTCCTCTCTCAGTATATTTAAATAGCATCTCATTATTTGTTCTAAAAGGTATAGGGATTAGAAGATCTAAACAAAAGTATTCTTTCTTCATTCTTTTGACTGCTAATGATAGTTAACATTTATTGAAGATTTGCTTTACAAATCATGCATTATCTCTCACTCTTCAACTAGCAACCAGAGCCTCAGTAAGATGTAAGAACTTGTCTACAGTCTCCCAGCCAGGAAAGGATGGAGCCAGGAAGCAAACCCATGACCATCTGATGTTATGCCCACAGCCACCACTTGACTGTCATCGGTCTTTTTTCACACTGCCAGCAGATATACTCTTTACTCTGAGTTCCTTGAATTTAGGAGAATAGACTTTAAAACCCAATTCAAGACAGTATAACTTCATTAGTGGGCATGAAAACAAGTACTACGAAGTAAATAAAGCAAATAAATGCAAGTGCTCATGATATGCTCTTTCCTACCAGGTGTGCTGAGTTGATTTTTGTTTCAGCCAGATTGTAAACTTCAGGAGCCAGGAGTAAGTTAAAAACACCTTTAACTCCAGACCATGTGATAACAATGGCCCATCTCCAATCATATTCATATCTTGAGTACATCAAAATAGGGCTCACTAGCAGAATAGTAAGCAACCTGTAGAGAGAAAAGTACTTAAAAACATAAATCACACCTTATAATTTAATGTTATTCACAGTTGAAGGTATGTCCTAAATACTGAGTGTCATACACTTTTCCATAAAGACAATCCAATTTCTTGAGAAGTTATCCAAACTTTCTCACACTAATCAAATCAAACTGAGTTTTGCCAATAATACTCCAGTACAAAAAAAAAAATAAATGTTACATCCAGAAGAGAGGACTCTGAGATACTCTTTAAAACTTGAATGATCTTTTGGCAACATTACAGATTGATTAAGAAGCCACTAAAATGAAACCAATAATGAAGGCAAATATGAGAAGAAGGCAGGGTGACTAGAGCCCTGGTGAACAGAACAGCAAAACACAAAGAGAATGCTGGCACATACCGAAAAGTGCATCAAAGGTAATGTCACTGAAGAACTTGTGCCAGACAGGACTCTAATTTGCTGAGTAAATGTTCACCATCACCATAGTAAAAATATTTTTAAAAAATTAATGCTAAGATCTATACAAACATAAGGCACTATCACTAATATCAATGTGTGCTGTTTGGATTGGGGAGGTAAATTCCTCAGGGAGTGGGTAGATTGGGCTGCTTATGAGAAAATTGGCAAGCTCATCTCTGATTTCCTGAAAGGTCCTAAAAGGACTGGATTTTAAAACTAAGCCAGGAAGACTTGAAGATCATAGTCCAAAAGGAAAAATCTTCCAGAGAGATTCACAAACTTAGTTAAGCCAAAGTTTTTAACTTCTTACAAGAAACACACTAAATTTTAACATAAATAATTTCCATTTGTACTTGTTGTTTTTACAGGCCATTTTTCTAGAAGTTTGTACTGAAATTCAGAAACTATCTTTCGGAGTCAAACAAGGAAACCCTAAGTCTCTGTAAACTTTCATTAAAATTAATATAAAAAAAATGACTGTTGATGAAGTAAACTGATAAAGTCAACAACAATCACAAGTAACATTTTAAATTACTAGAAGGTGGTAAATAAAATATACATTCATTATGCATACTTATTCTTTATTATGACTGATTTACAGTGTGTCGAAAATATAAGTATTACCCTGATTGTCAAGGATCTTCCAGGTACAGGAAATAATATGGAATTAGCAAATACAAGTACAATGGGAGAGCTTATACTAGCTAATTGACAAAAATGAACTTTGTCTCTAAGTCCCAGAGTTAGCTACTTCTAGCTTTCTTATTATGTCATCGAAGACATGCAAGCAAAGAGGTTGTTAGAGGCAAAGATAGTGAAACTTCGTCTTACATTCTTTGGGTATATACAATCATTCTTATGAACTGCCTGCCATTGGATTGGTATCACAACTACTTACTCACTGTTGTAACTCTGAGTCAGAACTAACCCATAGCTGACACTCTTCAGAGGCAGTAAATTGCACAAGAGTAGATTGCGCATCCATCTCCTACAGAGCAGCTGGTGAATTCGAACCATGTTCCATTATGTTGGCAGTGCAACTCCTTCTCACTAAAACAGCACTCTCACCAGGCCAGTTCAAATTGTTAAAATGAACAAGAACCACACAGAATCCATTGAAACAGTGGGTAAATTTTCATTACCAGAGACTTGGAGAGGAAGACCCTCAACTGTGGATTGAAACAGTGACTGTAGCAATTGGCTTGAGTGTATCAGATTTTTGAGGGTGGCACAGGATAGGACAGAGTAGTTCAGATCTGTTGTTCATAGGTCGATATGAGTCATACTCGACTTGATGACACCTAACAACAACATCCAGATCATGAGTGATGTCAAAGCTGCTGGTCTACCTGCCTTATTACATAGATGAACAGTAAATGGGGTTTTCTCCAGTCACACAACAAGCTAGCATGAAGGTCTTGACCCAAACACGCTTTGTCTGACTTCACACCCAAGCTTCTTTTTTTTTCCTACACTTTACTGCTAACCATTGTAATTCTGGGTTTGAGAACCTAGGTTCAGTAAGAAAACATAATTCTTACCTGACAATATTCAGACTGACATATAAAATGAAAATGAAAACAATTGTGTGCAATTTGAAATACTTGCGCTCTCCACATCCAATCACAATGCCAAAAAAGGTATATATTAATTGATGGGATACTGATGTAAACATTATTAATAACCTAGGATCAGTGAATTGAAAAATCAAATTTTAGTAACATATTTCTTAAAATGTTTTACTTTTCACCTAAAACCCATTCTTCTCAGCACAGGCCCTTGCATTCATCATTGTAACAACATTCAAGTCTTTTGTTGGAATTGTAGAAATACCCAGGACTGTATTCCTCATTTCCTTCATCCCTAATACCTACAGGCTGTGTATCACAGCAGACCAGTAAGAGCAGGGTAGACAAATGAGAATTTTCCCAGGAAGTTCATGGTCTATTTCTCAGGGATTGTTCCTAACGATATCAACTATGAGCTTGCCTCTGCTAAGCTTGGAGCAAGAAGCCACTTGGGTGAACTGAACGTGACTTGGCATTAATTCCCAAGGTCACCTTGATGCTTAATGCATAATTTCTGTGACCACAATAACTACTTCTGTCTGCTTTCTTAGTTACTAAAACCTTCCCAAATCTGTTAAAGCTTGCTCTGTGCCTTTGTCCTCCAGACAGCCATCCTAAACATTTGCTGGAAACAATCCTCCACTGAATTCCTAGAGGATCAACATGTACATCACCATGATTCTTCAGCCAAGAATGCATGAGAATCATCTAGATTGCTTTTTAAACTCTACATACTCAGCCCCAAACCCCAGGAGTATCTTGTTGATCATACCAGTCAGTGGCCAGCAGTCAAGGTCTGGGGCTGAGACTGTAGGTCAGCCTCACCAGAGCAGGTGATCTGTTCTGGTTTCAGTGCTGGTTCTGATTTCTACAGGCAATGCTCAAATCCTGTGACTAGCAGAGCTTCCTCTGTCAGCTGACTGGGTGAATATATATGTCTCACAAACCTACAATATATGTCTCACAGTCTACCCACAAGTGGGTCTTAAGACCTACGCTCAAGAAAAAAATATTAAGAAGCCTTATTTTAGCTGCAGATATGTCATGTTTTTTGAAACAGTATTACCCACATTTAAGCAGAAATTTTGCTTCTCCATCTGATTACTGTATTTTCCTCCAATCAGAATCTTTAGAAGGGATGGGTCTAAACATTAACTCAAATCCCAAGACTTAGTTTTCTGAAAATTCAGAAATCATGGAGCAACCAAAACAAATACTTCCTTTCATATCCTTCCCACAAGCCCTTACATAAAGCAGGACCCCAATACTTAAGTTTTGTTGTTGTTCATTTGATTTGTTGTTTTGTTTTACATAGATACGTTTGCCACTTAACTATGAGCCCCTTCTAAGAATGGACCAAACTTTGTAACTCTAAACCTATAAAAGAATATTCAGATCCCCAGAGAGACCATGTCTGCCATCCAAGCAGATATATGCACACCCATGTTTATTGCAGCTTTGTTTACAATAGCAAAGAGTTGGAAGCAGCCTAAGGGCCCATCAACAAA